CAGACTGACATTCTGATGACCACATCCACCACTGATAGTGCCTAGTCCAGACTGACATTCTGATGACCACACCCACCACTGACAGAACCCTCACTTTCCAATTTTAATCAAGTACTTACCTACTTCATAGTAACCATCAGCAGTTCTTTTATATGATGATTTTGTTTTACTTTGTATCTCCAATAAACCTTCTTGTTTCTGTTCTAGCTGATGAGGTAGTAGCTCCACAGTAGTATTTGAAAACACATCACCAGGATGTTCCGTGTTACCACTGGTAAATCTGTACCTATAGAAAGTAGATGTATAAACTAGATCTTATAGATGACATGATATCCCAATTATCATAGTAATAGACATTATGCAGAGTATAGTTATAATTATATCCATAATACAAACAAAAGCATCACAGTTGCCGAATTATTTCACGTGAACAAACAATGTAATTTACATGTTCTGTACTCATTGCATGGGACCCACATTGAACTTGAAATGTTGCAATGATAGTGGTGCTTTAATATTATGTTTATAAGCTCATTATTTGTAAATCATGTTCCTAAATCTTTTTTTCCAGATGCAATATCTAACAGAATTATATAGACTTTACACAAGTTAGTCACATTGCCTTTTAAAAAAGTCATGAGTATAAAGGTTGGCAAAAAGTAGAATGCAGCTACATGTTTAAGATCAAGACAAAGGTCTATCACAATTGTATACATACTGTGGAATACTTTATTTTCGTTAGAATAAACTTTCGCTGAAACGACTTTTTGGGCATTTTGTATGTAATTTATTTTCACTGATTTTTGACGAGTTGAATGTGAAATATAGAAAAAAAAAAAGTATATTCGCTGGATTTTATTTTCACTGAATCATCCCTTCAGCGAAAACAGCGAAAATAAATTCCGAGCGAAAAATAAAGTATTCTACAGTAATTGAACATGGTTATCAGTTGATTTGGTAATAATTAAATAATATCTCTTTTTGGTCATCCTCATACCTCGCACATGGAGTTTGGAGTTAAAATATGTACGCAAATAAAAGTTTCCTTCTCGAACACTATTATTCTCCATGGAATTACAGGCACTTACTTTTCAAAGATAATAGGTTGTGTAAACTTAAAGAGGATTACGTCCCCAGCTTTTGGCATAACACCCCAGAAAAAGTCCTGGCCTTTGTAAGCTTTTTCTAATGAGTATTTCATGTAGACTTTGATTGTTGTTGACACCTGTGCAGTTGGATTTTCATGTGCTCTGTGTAACGGTTGCTTTCCAAAGTCTTTATCCTACATGAGGTAAAACATAGTGCACTTATAAAAACCTTGCCCATAAAAACAAAAGCAATAGTACATGTATGTCAGCCACCAATCAGGTAAGGTATCTCACTCAATTTTGGAACATAATTTTAAGGCACTAACATTAAGCAAAAATCTTTGATCTGAAACTTGATAGTGTACTAAATGATAAGAATCTATCATTCGGTTGATATTGAGTTACATTGAACTACATGTATGAATACAAATAAATACGATTAAGTATAACTCTTAATTTATATGTCACATATTTGAGTTCCAGTATATATTAAAAAAAAAACTTTCCAATGGTATTGAATTCAACAAAGTAACAGTGTATCTTAATTAACCAATAATTAATTAACCATATCAGTATGTACATGTATTGTCTCACCTTAAGCTTTTGTACCTTGCCAGGCAAAGAAGAATGCATGCCGACATGTTGGAATAACGATGGCTTGAAGCGTATTCTCAGTGCTGCCTTCTCTCTGGCACAGTGTTTCTAATTATCAGTGAGAGAGAGAGAGAAGAAAGTGTTTTGTCAGTTCAAAAAACAGAAAGAAAAACAAATCATGTGGCAGTACCCATTTTCATCACTGACAAGTTACTTTCAGACCAAACGGGAATTGCCATGAGAATACGACAAAGTATGTACAAAGACAGTGGGTGATTGTATCAATCAATGTTTAGCAGAGGTTGATGTGATCCTGAACTGCCTTAGTTCATACTATCTGGTGTTCTTGCGATCATTTTAAAAATAAAAAAATCTGCTTGTAGTCATAATTTAAGAGCTAATGTCTGAGAAAAATGTCTATCTATTATATTATTGACAATATACAATGAGTGCACAGGGCTCTAATTATCAAGGCAGAGGCTGAAAATAATGCAGAATACTCACAACATCTTTTTCTGGGTGGCACACTTTCACCCACAAAATATGATCCAATAACCAATCAATGGGCTTGTCTCGATGAAACATTAGAAAAAATTCTATGACTAAATTCAAGTCTGAAGTTTTAAAAAGCTTTCCTAGAAGTAAAAAGAAAAGCCGTTATTTAAATTTTTACAAAAAACTAGGATAGCACAAACACAACATGCCATTATACCAATACATAAGTAGGTAGGTTGTAAGTGCATCAATTGGATACAGTTGTTTACACATGTTTAACCTTTTCACAACCAGACTTTCTCACCCAAATTTGTCCGCACTTTTTTTTCAATTTTTTCATTATTTCTGGAAATGAACCCTAATTTTAAAGCCAACAGACAAAGTTTGAGTAAATTTTTCAGTTTTTACTCTTTTAAATTTGGCTATTTTTGTCCCAATCTTCTAAGGATAGCGCAGATTGCAAGCTGATTACTCTTTGGAACTTGTGATGAAAAGAGGAAACTGGTGGTGAAAAGAGGAAACTTGTGATGAAAAGAGGAAACTGGTGATGAAAAGAGAAACTTGTGATGAAAAGAGGAAACTTGTGATGAAAAGAGGAAACTGGTGGTGGTGAAAAGGTTGATTTTCCAATATTTACTACAGGGTATTTGTCAGTCCAAAAATATGGGCATAGCTTTTAATATAGATTGATGTGTTCCAAATTTTGGAAGAACAATATTTGTTTGATATCTTATTGGCTGGACTACTGTGATATCTTCTATATAGAAATTATAAACAAGAACTCACCTATGAAACCTAATGAAGAAAATTCTAACATGAACCAGTCATCTTGTTTTTGTTGAAGTGCAAAATTGTTCATGGTTGTTATATACCCTGGTTTGGCGATGATATCGTCTTCTAACTGTTGCAAAAAACAATCAAAGAAAGCTTAGAAAGAACTCCCGTGTGCTGAGAGTATTAGAGACACAGTAAAAATTAATTCAAAATTACTTGTTCTTGAGATATTGATGGAAATGCAAATCAGAAAATTAAAATGAACAGATTTGAGTGTAAAACTAATAAGATCTGTGCAATGCAACAGACCTTCTATGTACCAAGATTCATTGAAATGTGATCAGAACCAAAAAATTATGAATTATCATGCTAATTAGGGAATTGATATGAACAGATTTTAACCCAAAACTCATCAGATTTTTACATTGTCCTGGAGCATCTACGTACAAAGTTTCATTGAAATGTGATGATTAGTACTTGAGATATCAGTGTGAAAGTTGAAAATTGATTAATTATGCAAATTAATGATTAATATGCATAAATATATACCGAAAACCAATTGGCACTCAGCATAGTTTAGATTCATTTAAAAGTGATGAATAGTACTCAAGATATCAGTGGAAAAGCTGAAAATTAAATAATTATGCAAATTAATATGCACAATTATTTACCCCCAAGCTAATCAGGTCTCTGCATAGTCCTAGGTTATCTATGTACCAAGTTTCATTGAAATGTGATGATTAGCAGTTGAGATATTAGTGGAAAAGCCGAAATATTGAATAATTATGCAAATTAGGTGATTAATATGCACAAATATTTGTCCCAAAACAATCAATCTCTGCATAGTCTTTGAGTATCTATGTACCATGTTTCATTGAAATGTGATGATTAGTAGTTGAGATATCAGTGGAAAAGCTGAAAATTTACTGATCATTATGCAAATTAGGAAATTAATATGCACAGATACTCAAAACTAATCAAAACCTGGCATTAGTACAAAGCATCTATGAACCAAGTTTCATCAAAATCCAATGAGTGGTTCTTTAGATATCAGTGGAACAGTCATGGAACAGCTAAAAATGCAAAATGAGGTAATTAATATGCACAGATTTCTACCAAAACCTAACCAAATCTGCACAGAGCATCTATGCACCAAGTTTCATCAAAAAGCAATGTATGGTTCTTGAGATATCAGTGGAACAGACGGACACATACACACACACACACATACAGACATACAGACAAACTAACTGCAAAGACTCCCATTGTGTGCTTCGCACGCAGGAGTCTAAAACGTTTTAATCTTAGGCAATAGGTACATGTATGTATCCTCGGGGGCGAACATCCGGGCATTTTCATCGCAACCATCGCAGTGAAAACAAAGGCCAAACACTCGCAGAAAATGGTACTTTGGGATGGTTGACTCCCCTGAACAGTGTAACAAGATTAGCCCTGCGTGTGTAACATATATAAATTTGGTTGTTTAGGATTACTTCAAAGTTGAGTTTGTGTTGTTTTTTTACTAATTTTCACCGGCTCGACCGGCGTTCCACAGCAGCAGGCACAGTCCATAGAAATGTATGTTACAGTGGTGCGCGTCTTAGCAACATGGAACGCCTTGTGACGTAGCTCCGCCCCAAGGATACAAGTGTGTTATCTGTGTAGTATTCGAAGAACATTTCTGAGGGACACATACCTGAACATAGAAAGTGGCTTTAACTTGTGCATACATCATTAAAAAGGAAAAATCTAAATTTTGTTTTGTCCTCCATCTGGAACATAAAAACAAGAAAAAAAACCATGTCATTATGAATGTGGAAAAACAAATTCTCACAAAATTATATTCACCCATAAAATCACAATTGGGATAAACTAGATAAGGCAGGCTTTAGGCAAATATTCAAGACAGATATTCTAGACGGATTTAAATTGCAGATGAGGTATTATTAGAGAAGAACACAAGATAGCATTGAATACAGACTGAATCACTAGCTGGACACAAATCAGCAGTGGGCAGGACAGAATACAAAAGATGTGAATATATGTACAAAATAGGATACAAGATGGGATTATGGGTACAAGATAGGATACAAGATGGGATTATGGGTACAAGATAGGATATAAGATGGGATTATGGGTACAAAATAGGATACAAGATGGGATTATGGGTACAAGATAGGATATAGGGTGGGATTATGGGTACAAAATAGGATACAAGATGGGATTATGGGTACAAGATAGGATATAGGATGGGATTATGGGTACAAAATAGGATATAAGATGTGAATATAGGTATAAAATAGGATATAAAATGGGAATACGGGTACAAGATAGAATATAGAATGGAATTATGGGTACAAGATAGGATATAAGATGAGAATATGGGTTCAAAATAGAATATAGAATGGGAATATGTATACAAGATGTGAATACAGTACGAAATAGGATTAGATTATGGGTACAAGATAAGATAAAGGATGGGATTATAGGTATAAAATAGGATAAAGGGTGGGATTATGGATAAAAAATAGGATATAAGATGTGAATGTAGGCACAAAATAGGATATAAAATGGGAATATGGGTACAAGATAGGATATAGAATGGAATTATGGGTACAAGATAGGATATAAGATGAGAATATGGGTTCAAAATAGAATATAGGATGGGAATATGTGTACAAGATGTGAATACAGTACGAAATAGGATTAGATTATGGGTACAAGATAGGATAAAGG